ACTGACACACACTGATTTACTGACACACTGGGCACTGACACACACTGATATACTGACACACTGGGCACTGACACACACTGCTTTACTGACACACTGGGTACTGACACACACTGATTTACTGACACACTGGGTACTGACACACACTGATTTACTGACACATTGAGACTTAAATTTGTGGTGCACCAGGCACTGAACCAATGCAAGCTATATACAGTGGCTCTCTTAGACAGACACACTGATACAGTGAAGTAGAATCACACACAGTTGGGCGGACATCTGCAGTGTCTCTCTCCGACAGTTAGCGGTTAAGCCCTCAACAGAAACGCCCCACTCCTCTCACACGGTATCAGTATTAAGACCGGGTTCATGGCCGTTCAGGCTTGGCTACAGTGAAGCAATTGTCAAAGATGAGACAGGAAACAAACGATATTACTGTTCAAGGCCAATATTTACTCTGAACTGGATTACAAATGTTTCCTCACACTCTCTCTGACACGCGCTCTCTTGTTTTCGATCTCCCTCTCCGCAGGCATCAACAAGACCAGCAGTTTCTCCTGTGAGGCCCACAATCGTAAAGGGGTAGCGACTTCAGCCTCGGGGACTGTGACAGGTGGGGGACAGACTGGTTTCACTAGTGCTGTTCGGTGTATTGAAGTGCAGTCTGGGAGTTTAGGAGACAGTTAAGTGTGTAAAGATGCAGTCTGAGATAATGGAGTACATTCTGGGATACTGGAGTACAGTCTGAGATATAGAGGTATGGAGAGTATTGTGCTAAAAGACAGGATATTCTTGAATAAGGATCACAGGGCCCCGTTCTGAATATAGGGGTAGATTATGAAATAGTGGGGCACATTCCAGAATGTTGAGTGATATCATGAACATTACAACACACTCCAGGATGCAGTCTTGGATTGTAGCGTATAATCCAGGATCTTGAGATGGTAAAATCCAATTTGGGATATAGGATGCAGCCTAGATATTGGAACAAAGGCTAGAAAATACTCAGTAGTCACACATTAGGACCACCAGTCATATGAATAGACTCTGTCAGTCAGCAGGCAATGCGTGGTTGAAGACAGATGTTCATCGCCTTGCTTGGTTAAGATCTCTTGACAACTTGTGGGTGTGTGCAGAACATACAGTTCAATCCCTCACACCATAATGTCTTATCACAGCCTCAGCTGAAGTAGGACCTGCTGGAAGAAGGGATAATGCACACCTGTAACTCACTCTCTCTTTGTCTCTTTGGCTCCCTCTCCCCAGTTATTCCTGCTCAGCCTCAGAAGCTGCAGCAGGTGTCGGCCAGTAACTCCAGCATGGAGATCTCCTGGGAGACTGGTTTCGGGGGGGTCTACCCTGTCGATGTCTGCTCTATACAGGTAAGATAAATCCTGAAGACCCAGGAAAAAAAAAACAGACCAGGCCAGGGCACAACCAGGACAAAAACAAGGCAAACTAGACCAAACCAGGCCGAGGCAGAACCAGAACAGACCAGGCCCAAGCCATCCATGCGATGAGCTGTCCTACAGCCACGCACTGCGTTTCACTGCATTTCTTCGGATGGCGGGGTGGGAGAGCGGCTGTTGATGCACACTGACACAGAAACAGCTGATTTTGGTAAAGCAACAACTACAAACAAGGTCTGTGTGCCGGTGTGTGTCAGTGTCTGTGGGCATTTATCCATCTTACTATCAACACAGATACAGAGTGTGAAAATATGTCCTTGCAAAGACAGGATCTTCTGACAAACAGATACTGTGGAAATGTGCCCACGGTGGAACCCACTTTTATAAACCAAATGGCATCTTCTTTTAAATCTAGCTTTAAAAGATAATGGCAAAACTATCAGTTTAGGATCTACTATTATCCCATGTGCGGTTACATTTAAGCAGAACTTGGAAGAGAAAATCCAAATGGAATGGGTGTCACTTGGAAGCAGACAACAGGTGTACACATGTGTAATAACGTGTCCCTGTGTGTTTCAGTGTCTGTGGTCTGAAACTCAAGGTATTGTTCCTCACTTCTCTCACTCTTTCTCCTTAATCCTCCTTCTGTTTCTGCGTTCTTTCTCCCTCAATCCCCTTTCTTCCCTCCCTTCCTCTTTCTACTGAGTTATGAGTCCTCAGATCATGTTTCACTGTGGGAAAGTGGCCTCACACTGTTAACCTTTTCGATGCCTGTCTCTCTCGTTCTCTCCCTCCCTGTCTTCCCTGCTCTCCCTCTGCTGCTCCCTCTCTCTCCCTCCCTCTTTTGCTCTCTCTTCCTGCACATTTATCACAGCTCTGGATACAATGTGACAAGAACACAGCAGTGTGGTCACACTGTATTACAGCGATGGAACACGTCTGCAGTCCAGCTCTTTCCCATATGCTGCTGATAAGAGAGCAGCACCCACTGCATTTCGTAGATGGCTCTGATCTGTTCATTTATTTCCCAAGTACATGAGGAGGCCATTTCTGTTTTTTTCTAGCTAATTTATCTGGCTTCCTTGAAGGATCCTAAGGAATTACCTTTCGCAACCTGGTTGGGCAGCTTGTTTCAAGCCTTTACCACCTTTTGTGTGAAGAAAACCCTCTTCTTCTAAGAACCAAATATACTTCCTTTTAGGTCCCACTTGTGTCTCATGCTTCTAGTTTCATTATAGATCCTGAAAGTCCATTGATTCAGAACTTTATCAAAAGCCTTTCAGGACTCGGCGTATTTGTATCAAGTCCCATGGGAACATACTGGGTTAGGGTCAAAAGAGTTTCCGTTTCCTCAACTCATCTGTGTTTGTAAATGCAATCAGGGATAAATCTTATTTCTTCTCATTAGCCTTGACCCCCTTGCAGAGCAACTATTTTCTTTTTGGAATATGGAAATCAGAGTTGTGCACAATAGTCTCAATCCAATAGAATACATTCAGCATTTAAGAGGACTGTAGTAGTTCAGGTGGGGAGCTGCGTCAGCATGCGTAGGCTGCAAAGGAACAAATAATAGGTTTATTCCCTGCTGAAAAGAGAAGAAAGAAAACACAACGTTTCGGCCGTGGAGCCTTCTTCAGGTGTGAGAGAGACAGGGCAGTAGGCAAAGGTAATGTAGTGGGAGAACAAAGGCTGGGAGAGAGGAGGAGCGAGAGGTGGGAGCAGGGGACAGACAGACTGGCCAATCAAGAGGTGTGAAGTCAGGATAGGTGTAGAGAGGTGTGAAATGAAACTTCCAATGAATGGAGAAAGGGTAAATGTGTGATAAGTTTGGTTTCGGTAGTCTTTCTGATGTATGAGTTCGGAAAACCGTCTTTGAGAACACAGACGGAGAGATTAGAGTGGTCATGGCCGTCAGAGGTGAAATGAGGACTAATCACATTGAAGAGAACACGACTGAAAAATTGAATTGAAAAGAAGAGTTTCTGTTGGCCACAGGAAGAGTGGGGCAGCAAAGCATCCTACACCAATTCACAGGGAAGGTTGGACCAGTTAAGCAGTTTCTTCATAAGGGCACCACATGCGCAATCCTAATGGAATCAGAGGAGTTTGAGGAAAACTGTAACCCAGGCAGTATGGCACTCTCAGAACAGGGGGCCCAAAGACAAGGCAGGTGATGAGTCACAGAGGAAAAGAAATTGACTGCAAATAAATTTAAGCAGGCACCTCCTCAATCAAACCTCTGCAGGACTGCTGGGGTGATGACATCCTCAGCCTCAGAATCGCATGAATTCTGAGTGTCTTTTGGCACCTCTGAAGTTTACTTTATTTTCCACCCAGGATGTCATCTGTAGTGACAGAGGTTCTCTGCTGGAAGCTGTGTGTCTCCCAGTGTAGACTGGGGGAATAAAACCGCCAGTGGGACAGGTATGGGAGTCGGGGGTGGGGGTTTGTGAGGGATAAGGGAAGAATCCTCCCACCCCCTCTGTCGTGAGTCAGCAGTGCTGTGTGCCTAATTTAAACACTATGGCACGGTTTGGACAGTAGTGAGACAGCAGTGCTGAGTCACTGATGACTGGGCCCTCTGGCACTTCCCCTCTGTTTCTCCCTGTCCCTTTTTTTGTCCTCCTTTCCCCTATCTTCTCTCTCCTCTCTCCGCCATCCCACTTTCTCTTGCCTAGCCTGCCTGCGCCCTCTCTCCCTCATCCTCCTCTATCTCTCTCACTGACTCTGTCCCCTAGGCCCCTATCCTCTCTCTTTAAAGTTCACTATGAATAAAATCTGTCCTGCACAGTTTAGTGTGTGTCCTGCTGAAATCGGCTTGTGCACCGGTGATATCAATGTCCACACGCAGGTGACACCTGTGTGTTGGTGGAACTGGCACTGGTGCCCTCAGTCTGTCAGTGTTAGTACTCATGTAATGCGTACAGTATGTGGTTCTTGGTTCTTTTAATCCTACCCCTTAGGTCTGCTCAGTATGTGTGCTGGGGAATTCATCAGTTCTGTTGATGAGAGGGAAAGGGAGGAAGAGGAGTTGCACAGTGTTGATGTTGTCCATTGGTTCACAGTTCTTCCACATGCACATACACATGCATATCACATGCAAGAGGCTGAGGATTGAGTATTTTTTGTGCAGCATGACCTCAGCCAGCACATCCATCCTCTTGTAACCCAGGCAGTACAGCTCTCCCAGAATAACCAGGGAGCAGGGAGCCCGGGGGCCCTGGAACAGGGTGGATACTGAGTCATTGAGCGAAAGCAGAAGTAGAGGAGCATTTCGATTTGACCAGCAGTCGTGCTTCTGCTTTATTGGAAGTGAAACAGAGGAAACTCAACTGGAGAGAGAGGGAGGGGAGGAGAGACAGTAAAGATAAAGAACAAGAGAGGTGTAGGGGGTAAAGTCTACCACGTGATTAAATCAACGCTCTTGGAGAACAAGTGCGCAGTACAAATTGAAAACAAAAGAAGAGTTCTTCACTCACATTTCTGGAGTGAAACCAACACTGTTCAATATACAGTATATATATATATCAATAAGCTAGCAGAGGTGATAGAAGAGTCTGCAACTCCTGGCCAAATACCACACTGCATAGAGATCAAGTTCCTCCTCAATGCCACTGACCTGGCCTGCTGTTGCCCAGAACAGGGGCAGTAGCAGAGCCTGGCACAGCTACAGCAGTACTCTGAGTCACTGAGCACTGAGCACCGGGCACTGAGTCATGCCTTTCAAGAAGAAAGTCAGATCTTAGGGAAACAGGTACCACTTCACACTGAATAATACACTAGGAATCTTTACTTCAGTGTGACCGCATCGCCTAGTGTGCAATGAGCTGAATAACCTCTTCTCAACATGATCTTCTCTTATCGTCTTGTATCCATCCTCATAGAGCCTCTGTAGGCAGGTCCCTTGTTGTGTAATGTCAATCAACTCTTACCAAGTTAATTCATCAGCGAACCCTGCCCACAGGCCGCCCCGTCCGAGAGCGACCTCATCGCGGCACCCCGCCACCTGATCCACAACCAGAACGTCAACGTGCCGCCGGCGCGCCATGCGATCGGTGGCCTCTCGCCCTTCATGGCCTACAGGGTGCGCGTGGCCTGCCGGAGCAGCCAGGGCGCCTCCCCCTGGACGGACTGGGTGACGCTGCGCACCGCCCAGGGAGGTGAGCTTCCTCAGCCACGCAGATTCGAGCTGGCACTCCGCGCCCCCCCAGTCCACACACTCCCACCCACTGTGTCACTGCCCTCCAGCGCCACTCCCCCCCTTCACAAGAGCCCGGGAAAGAGAGGAAGAGGGACAGAGGAAAGGAGAAGGTGAATAAGGAATGGAGCGAGTGCATGAGAAAGAGAGGGACAGAGGAGGGGATTTTCCGTGGCCAGCTCATGCTTTCCGTAACCTGCAGCCCAGTTGCAGCAATGTGTTCTGGAAAAGAAAAAATGACGACTGAGCAAAAAAGCACGGAAAACAGAGGGAGAGAATGTGGAGGAGAAGAGGGAGGGACTTGTGTGAAATCATGCATTCAGCAAAGGGGCTTGGAGAGCTTTGTCAAAGGGAAAACACAATTAGCGGGCACAAGGATGAAAAAGAGAGGGGAGGGGCGGCATTGTTATTTGCTTGTGTGTGATTGTTAGGCCATTTTCTCTGTCAATATTTGGGTTTCAGGGCTCTGTTGTGCTGTCCTCCACAGTAATGTAGCCTTCAGAAGAACTGGATGATATTGAGAGAGGAGAGGGAGTCTTTTAACTTTTGAAACCTCCGTTTATTATAAGCGTACACGCAAAAAATAAATATCCACTGTCGGATAAAAACCTCAAAGCCCGCCAAAATAAATGTAACAGCCCAATTTCAACTTCAACGGCCCGTGAGCCTCCCACAAACAAATGGGCTCTTTGTGTTGAAATATCCTTCGACACTACTGCTGTACTGGAGTCTGTGAAGGTATTGATCAGTGAGATTCCATATTACCATACCTATGCTGATTTGGTAAATGTGGATAAGTACTGTATAAGTACAGCACTTTTTAATAAAAAGACATGGAGATTATTAGCTAACTCATAAGAAACGTGTTCAGTCTTAAAAATAGCATCTCTGCTTTTTCTTGGCATTGCCCCACCACCTGTCCTGCCTTTTAAAATGGTCCGTTCAGCATGAGCTGACATAAAATTAGTCTGAAAGGTTGCATTAGTTTGGGTACAAAATTATATTATGCAAAAATCTTTACTAAAAGATCACCTTTGAGCCTCACAAATGTCCTTTATAAATAGAAGGAGTGGAAGGAGTGGGAACAGATGAACAGAGAGAGGAGAGAGGGAGCAGGAATAGAGAGAGGAGAGAAGGAGCAGGAATAGAGAGAGGAGAGAGAAGGAGCAGGATTAGAGAGAGGAGAGAAGGAGCAGGAATAGAGAGAGGAGAGAAGGAGCAGGAATAGAGAGAGGAGAGAGGGACCAGGAATAGAGAGAGGAGAGAGGGACCAGGAATAGAGAGAGGAGAGAGAGCAGGAATAGAGAGAGGAGAGGGAGCAGAAATAGAGAGAGGAGAGAGAGCAGGAATAGAGAGAGGAGAGGGAGCAGGAATAGAGAGAGGAGAGA